GAGGCCCGAGCCGGGGGTAGCGGGTGGGGGCTGGCCGCTGGAAGGAGGCCAGGAGATCGGAGCGAGAGTCATTTTTTAAGGGGCGGGCTTCCAAGACCCCAGGACGGCCCGGCTTCAAAGCCGAAGAGTTCTTCATCTTAATGCAACCGGTGTAGGTCGAGCCTCTGGCAAGCCGCGCAGCCGAGGCTTATTTCTTTTCGAGGGGGCAGCAAGCCGGGCAGGGTTAGACCTGCTGCCGGTGGCTAAGTGGGCCCGCCTCTGGGAAGTCTAGCCTGGGCGGCGGGCTAGACGGGGAAGCCGCCGGGAGAAGGCAGGGGCAAGCTCCTCGGTAGCGTGCGGGGAAGACTGCAGGGAGTCGAGCGCCCCCGCAGGTGACTTCTGGCTCCTCTCGCTTCACTTTCACTTAACAGCAGCGGCTCGGGAGCAAGATGCGGCTCGGAAGTTAACCGCGGCCAGGCGCTCCAGTGGCTCGCTCCTTCCGCTTAGCAGGAGAGCTGCTCCAGTGGTTTCCCCTGCCGACGTCCGCGTCCACCCCACGGAACAACAGGGTTGGTACCTCGGCTGAACATGCAAACTATGTCTTAGGCCTTGTTCAGTTAGGGGATCCCTGGGTAAGCACAATGTGTGAGGTCAGCCACTGTGTGCAGCGTTCGTGGAACAATACGCCGCCAGGCTCCAAACAGGTCACTTTCGTCTTTCCAGGAAGAGAGCAGTCTGCAGTTCAGTTGTGGCAAAAATAGAGAGATGGGCAGCTGATGTCAGATGAAATACAATTCTAATGGTAACATAGCATTATTAAAATAAAAAGTATGCACATGACTGGTTGAAATTCCAACTTCGTTACAATACTTAAAGCTGCAAGGATCCTGTTGGATTCAATTGCTGCAAATATTGAACTTTATCCAAGGAAAAACAATCACATCATAGTCACTGAATGTTGATTTGTTTGGTTAAAACATTAGCTAAAGAATTGTGTGATTCAAGTGGAAAGGTTCATTTTGCATTTACAATAGTTTACTTTTTGTTTTATTGTCAGTTTTCTATCACTCTTGCTTTGCCACTTGACCAGGGGTTCCCAGATTGTTTAACTAACAAACAGGATCTGTGGCCTGAAAAAGTGTGAAAAACCGTTGCTCTGGAGAAAGTTTTTTCCCTAAGGTTGATGACAAAATTGGGTGAGATAGTTACTTTCCTAGAAGACAGGATTTATTCAAAACAAGCTTGATAGGTTAGAAAATGGGCTGAAAATAGCATCATGAAATGCAATAAAGGCAAATTAGAAATTCCTCCTTTAGGTACAGGTTGGGCGGCAGGGCCACGGTGGATGTGAAGAGCTGCTTGGAGTTGTGGCTGATGGCTGGACGACTGTGAGTCAGCAGGTGATCTGGCTGCCAGAAAGGCAAGCACAAGCATAGTCCGTGCCAGTACTTTTTTGAAAGTGATCACAGGAACAAATAATTCCAGTTAGTTATGATTGGTCAGATAGCTGCATGCTGTGCACGCTTCTGAGCGCTGCCAGACTCAGACAAATTGCAAGCAGTTCCAAGAAGGCCACAAAGATCCATACTTTTATTTACTTATTAAATTTACAAGCTCTCTGATTCTATGATAGTTCTGGATGCATACAATTATAAAACAATTCAAAAATACAAACCAAACAACAAAAGGCGTCAACAGTGGACTGGAAAAGTAAGCCTGTGGGGAAACTGGGTAAGTTTAGTTCTGAGACTGGAAGGAGAGATTTATGGTGCAAATTCTGATTAAATGTTATGAACATTTAATCCTCCGCCATCCATTTTTCTGTGTGCAATTTAGTAAGCTATAACGTTTTCTTCAAAATGTTACTCAGACAAATTACATCTCATTCATACAGTGAGTATCAGAATATTCAGGAGATATGTCCTTGCGATCAGATTCATTAAACCTTCTACTGCTAAAAGGATGACAGGAAGAGCTTTGTTCCTTTGTCATTACTGATTCTTGCAGGCTCTTTGCTCATGAGACACCAAAAGGGAGGCCTCTGCCCATCTCCAGCTGGCGAGAGAGGAGAGCTCTCTCTGCCAAATCAACATCTCCCTTCCCCAGAAAGGTGGGAAAAGCCTTTGTGTTTCTTGGTCACTTACCCGAAAAGCAAGGAGCAACGTGGCTGTTGTTCATGCCACCTAGGAAGTTTGGCTTTTTATCTTTGCATTTTCATGAAGAGAAAGGGGTTTTCTCATTGGACTCCACACACAGCAGGAACTGATAGGTTTAATTATATTTCTGGCCCCAGAACTGCTAGAATTTCACTTCTATCCAAGGCAGCAGAATATTTTGTTTCTGATAATCTTAACTATGACTTTATGAGCTTGTTTATTCAACTATTTTCACTCCATCACAAACTAGGATAGGTCAGGTGATTTTTTTTACCCATTTGTACCCAGAATAAGGCACTGGTGGCTAGGTTCATACAATACATTTTGCCTCTGGGAAGTCTCTTCCTATTCCCACCCTTCAAATTCCCTGCAAGTGGCAAAAAAGGGGTTGGGGTGAAAATAGGTCACACCCATTTTAGTGACGTCACATTATCACCAACAGTTTCCTATGGCCCTTGAGATAGTTGGGAAAGTGAATCAAAACCCAAATTACGTAATAGTTTAGCACAATATGTGAATTGACATAAGAGCACTGTATATATAGGTCAGGATGGGTAATCTGTGACCCAAAAAACCCTGAATTGTCTATTCTTTTTTTCTATTTTCCTGTGGGCACAAATCCAAAACATGACAATCCTATGAGAAAATAGGTTTTTGGCATCATCCCACACAGAGGGGCCTCCACAAAATCACAACTAAGTCAACTATTAGTGCATGGCAGCCTTTCTTGATGTGACTTCATCCTGGTATGTTCGGATAACAACTCCCTGAATTCCACCTAAGGAGTTGTGGAGGCCGCATGAAGCACTGAGAAGATTTGAACAGAACTGAGGAAGTGCTAAGGAGAGGATGATCCCTCCAGAGGTTTAGAATTAGGGGAAGATGTACATTAAGATTATGGAATGGAAAAGGAAGCTGACCTGCTGGGATGGCCAGCCAGGATGCAGTGCGGCTGGGGAAAAAGGATAAAGCATTTTTGTATTGTCATACATACCCTGTAGCCCTCAAATGCCTAAAATTACAAAAATGTGCAGCCCTTCAACACATCCCTGTTCTAGATTATCTTTCTTTTGCAACATGATCTAGACTGGATTCAAACAGTACACTAAGATGAAACATGGTTTGTCTAGTTTTGATGTGTTGTGTGAATCCAGCAGTTATAGTTTATAAAACATGTAAGGCTCAGAATGCTGATTGAACTCAGACAGTTGTGCTTATTCAATGAACCACAATGTTGTAAACGATGACTTAGCATGCTGTGTGAGCATTACTGGCATTGTGTTCCTCCAACCCATCAAGTTATTACAGTAGGGTATTTGCTTGACTTGGACTTTGAATCCAGCCACTGGGGTTTGTAAAGATGGGACAAAATAACAGAATGCCAATTCTTCAATACTCCCTTTTAAAGGGGACTCTAAGAAATCAAGTTGACCACACACTTAACAATTGCATCAGTAATGATTTGCCTTTATACATCGGCTTATGTAAGCCTCACAAAGTATTAATTCTGCAACGTATATTTGATGCAATCACATTAATCATATTTTTTTAACATGTCAGTCATGCAGTAGGTTAGTTTCATTTTTATTTCTCTCTGCTGTTGGTGCTCATTTGCTTGAAATGTTTGAAAAACACTGATTATTCAGGAGTCTGGGTTTGAATAGAATGCACTGTAATTGCAAGGAACATATTAGCTTAGAATTTCTACTTGCTCCTGCATATTGACAGGCCCTAGACTATGGTTTCAAAATATGTGTCCTGATGCAAGGTATCTGCACCTAGAATTGCAGATTTATTCTACAGACTATTTTTCTTTAGACTCATAAGACAACATTTTGATGGCCAATGAGCACAGCAATGGGTGAGGCTGTAATACAAAGAGCGTATACTGTACTCTGTGCAGATGTAAGTGAACTAGGATTTTTACCTCTCTTTTTGGTGGACTTTATTTTCAGTGCAGTTTCTTCTGCAGTTTTGCTCATATCCTATTTCTCAATGGAGGAAAAACAGATTTTTGGTGGAGACTATGGACTTGCAGCTTCAGGACCTCAGGTTGCCCACCCTACACTAGAACCAGAGATGTTTCAGCCAAACTGCAGAGACCTTTTTATTTGGCTTGGCCATAAGCTGACATATTAGATGGTATGATGGAAATATTTAGAGGGGTTATGGCTACATTTTATCACGATACTGATAATTTTATTTTGTGTAGTCAGTTGACTATCAAAAAATAATTGAAACACCATGTTACACCAAACACTGGACTACTGTGTTTGAAGTCTAGCAATATTGTTGCATTCCCCTGCTAACATTCTTATACAGGTAACACTCTAGGTCTATTGTTCCTGCCTGGAATTGTGGATTTGGACAGTTGGGTTGCTCCTTTAAATTAATACTCGGTATGGGCAAGACTTGCAATGTTCAGAAAACTCTTCTGAAGCCTGATTCTATTGTGCTTTTAGAATACAAACTGTGAGTGAAGCCATATTGAAATGTTGGGACCCATAATTCAATACAGTCTTAGGCAAGCCTTGCTGCGAAAGAGTGAAAGATTAAAGGGAAAAAAAGTTTACTTCATATATTCAGTACAAATGTTTATTTTTGCAATGAGAACTGCACAAAAAACCTTTAGTATATAAGTGAAAACTCTATGAATTCCCTTCTACAAATGTCTAAAGTGTTTAATACAAGTTTCAAATTCACTGACATAATTATTTG